TTTTTGTAAATATTAATTATTTTATTTACGAAATCTACGTTTCGAAAAATTTGTCTCGAAGATTTCCATCTTCACGAATATTCACTTAACATTCGCAAAAGGAAGGGGTGGTTAGGAAGCACGGGGTAGAAGCTGCAATGTTACCATGGCAACCCCGGATACCCGGGACTAGAGCTATAGTCGCAGCATGTGTAGGGGATAAACGAAACGTCGCAATTCCTTAGAAAGTGACTCTTGACATGTTATTATCAGTAAATTGTAGGCAATATAAATATACAATGAAACTTTCCATTATTTCTTGATTTTTGCTTGAATTCAATCCGTTCAGATTTTTGGACTATCCTGTTTTTATCTATTTTCATTTCTAAAATTTTTTTATTAAATATTTAAATCTCAAGATTTCTCAGATTTCTTTAAATGTAAACTCTTGAATGCCTCTTTTTTCTTTTGCCCTGCATTTTTGGATTTATTCTCAATTTTGAGTCTTTATTATCTTTTGATATTAGATCTATAGATTTTTTCTCCCCTTGTATTCTTGTAGATTACTATTGATTGCTTAAATAATTTGTAGAGCTCTCTAAAAATATATTAAGCTCTTTCTTATAGTAAAAATTTATCCTGTTTTGATTAGTTAGTAGTACTTATATTAAACCTTTGTATTAAACCTTTGATTAGTTAGTTGTACCTATATTAAACTTTTATAATTTATCAACTCATTAATAAATATTACAACAATGAAAATATTGAATTAAAAAAAGTATGGCGCCTATTTTATATAATCTGCATTTCTACTTACAAAAAAGTTGTAGAATTATTTCTCGCTTTTAAATAAAAATACCTTTTACCGTCAGAGAATTGGAAAACACGCACAACTAATTGCATTTACTGCAAAAAATTTCTGATCAAGTCTTTCTCTGAAGCAAAACAATTACCCAGCACGTATCAATGGATTCCTCTCACTCTCGGAATGTGAAGAATGTATCCTCGTAATATCTTCTTCTACAATCTCTCTTTCGTTCTTTTGAACTTCCTCAATTCTCTTCTAGAATGATTTGCACTATGAAGGGAGAGTCGCTCGTTGAAGATAATTATTAATTAATAATGTTAAAAATTAATTTGATAAATAACTTAATAAATAAATTAAGAATGTTGAAAATTTTAATAAATAACTAGTTAATAAAAATTAAAAAAGATATTAAATATATATAAAATTATTATTTCTCTTTCAATATTTTAAAAATTTAAATTTTATTTTGCGTAAAATTGATATTTAATACATGCCTTTAATACATAAAACATGATTTGTAATTATCAAAAAAATGAGCGACCTCGAGTAGTGCGAACCACACTCGTAATCTCTTTTCACCCCTGTTGTCTCTCGCCTTTCACGACTTCTCCGACTGCAAGTCTACGCACCATTTAGGTCCCTCCCTAGTGTAGAGTATATCCCTTCTTTAGGGATGTTACGATCATGATGGTTCCCTCGATAGCAGAGAAAAACCAAAAAAAAATTGAACCCCTTTATATCTATTTCTCTCAAGTAGAAAAGAAGAAATTAATGAAGACACCTTCCCTCTCGGTAATCACGAGCGATGAGGGTTTGTCGGAACCCTCGAGCGAAGGGTGCCGCTCCCTTCGCGCTCGATGAGAGAGGGGAGGCGCGAGAGGGAACATCTCGAAGGCGCGATGCAGTCTTAGGAGTGAAGGGCTTGCGAACTTACAGAAGGAGAGCTTGAAGGACTCGGGGGCGTTTTAGGGAGCTCCGGGGGCGCCGCGCTCGCCCTTAGCGGCCGACACAAGCCGGAGGAGCTCGCCACCCTCGCGGCCACCACCAGGTTCTCTCGGAAGGAGATCCAGCTGATCTATCGGGGTTTCAAGCAGGAATGTCCAAGTGGCCTGGTCGACGAAGATGCCTTTAAGCAGATCTTCTCACAATTCTTTCCGCAGGGAGGTAATAAAGGAACGATGGCAATAATGACAATGATAATGATGATGATGATGATGATGATGATGATGATGATGATGATGATGATGATGATGATAATGATCCCAACAGTTCTGTTGAACAATAATACTGATAAATATAAGCATCCCTTTTTTAATATTACATTTCTATTTATAAATAAAATAGATTATCTTTATTGTAATAAAAATAGATTTTCTTGGAAAGTGCCTTATTTTTTTTTAATTTGAAGGTTTATGTAAAATTCTTTTAACTTTTAGAATCTCTTAATTCCTTAATTAAAATGTATTCCCGAATTAAAATGTAAAAGTGATAAAACATTACGTTTATCAATTTTTATATGATTTTTTTTAGATTCTCAGCTCTTTATATTTTTCATTAAGTCTTAGGGATCCGACTATTACGTTAAATGAAAAAATTACATATAGAATCTCTGTTTTTTTGAATTATCATTGCCATTCCTTTTTGATCACCACGTGTTATAGACGCAAGTCAGTACGCTCACTATGTCTTCAACACCATGAAGAGGAAACCGTCCGGCAAAATAAGTTTCGAGGTGAGCGACGTCTCGGATGTTTTTAAAAGAAATACAAGAAGATTTCTCTGAGATTTCAAATTTGATTCTAAATTTATTGAATAATTAATCCCGTCTAAGTTGAATGAGAAAGCCATAATTTCTAAGTTCCAAATTTTTATCTTTAAATAGGAATTCCTCACTATCCTGTCGAAGGTGTCAAGAGGATCGGTGGAGGAGAAGCTACAATGGGTGTTCGGTTTGTACGATCTGGATGGCGATGGTCTGATAAGCAAGGAGGAAATGCTGGATGTCGTAGGCTCCATTTACGAGATGCTGGGTCGTTACACGCAACCGCAAATTCTCGAGCCGCACGTGGCCGCCCGCGAACACGTTGATCGCATCTTCCACGTAAGTATTAACACTACATCCTTGACTAAACTAGAAAATAAAAATACTTAAATCAAAAATAATTGAAAACAAGATAAAATATATAAATTTTAATGGACAGAAGTATTTTTCAATTTTATTTGCAATTTTCCAGAATTTAATTTCTAATTTTTAATTTTGCTAATCCTAAATATTTTTAAAATTTTTTCTGAACATCCCTTATTACGTGGATTATTGTAGTTTTCAGTATAATTTTTTGTAACCATATTTAATCTTCGGCGATGATTCTACGATACTTTTTTTATAACTTGTATAGTTAATTATTAATAATTAATTATGAATAATATTTCACGTATAATTTTAGTTGATGGACGCGAATAAGGACGGTGTGGTGACCATCGAAGAGTTGGTGCAGTGGTGTTCCAAGGACGAGCAATTGTTGCGAAGTCTCGATACTCTGGACACCGTATTATGAGATTTTAACGTTCTATTGGAAATATTTCAGTATCGGATTATCAATTACGCTTTGAGCAATGGCTATGAAATATCATATATGAACCTTTTCATCGATTTACCCGCCTCTCTTTAATAAGAATAAGAAGATAAGAAGGATTAGATAGAGACAATTTATCAATGACTTAACGATTATATATGCGAAAAACGATAAAATCGATTGAGAGTGTTGAAAAGAATTTCTTGAAAGAAAAAGGAAAATTTGAGTAAATCTGTTTGCAAATTTCGAGCTTATGATTTATAGGAATAATGTAAAATGTAAAGATGTCAAGATGTCACATTTATAAGAAGAAAAAATCAGATATGATTAGCCAGATTGTCACTGCTCGAGACGTGTTTTAAAAAAAGATCCTGAAGAATGAGACCCTTCTGCACGTGTCTTTTGTAAGTATGTACGTACCTCGTTACACACCTACCCAGTCTTTCAAATCCAGTATGTCACTCAACGATTGAGGATCTATAAGAATTGATAATTTAAGTTGCCTACAAAATTTCCTGAAACTTAGAATATAAACTTATAACTTCGAGAATTTTTGAAATGTTGATATTATATTTAAAAAATATTTTAAACTAGTATATTATATACAAAATTGTTGAATTACTAACTAATTATATTGGAAAAAAATAAATCATCGGTCTGTTTCAACTTCTTGTAAAAAATGAATACATTGAAAGCAATTGAACGATCAAATACGAATTTGATCTGCAACAGCAGAAAAAAA